ATACTTGGTTACATCAGTGAAAAGATCGATGAGTGAACTCAATCCGTACTTATTCCGAAGTGGGTGTAAGCGTGGCTCATGTTCACCTCAGGAGGTACTTGCCTGGTTGGGTGTTACAGGGCTGTAGTGGGTACCTCCTACCTCAGCTACCTGCACTTGAGTCGAGGTTTAGGTTGGATGTTGCAAACAGACAATACTAGGAAAGTGCTAGGAAGGAATTGACTGCCGCCTGAGACTTGGCTTTGATGTAAAACTTGGATCAACGCTTCAATAACTACATTGTTTTGCTATCATTCCTCAATCTTTCTAGAACAACGTTCATTTACTCCGTCATTGGTAGATACGCAAATGGAAGAATTCTAGAAAAAAGACCCCGCATCGTGCCGTTCCTGTTCCTGTCGCTTCCCACATTCCCATCTGACAGACGTAGGCGATTGCCACAGATGTCCCTGACAAGTGACGGCTTTCTCAGCCTTCGCTTCAGGCACACGCCAAAAGCCGTATGGACATCCGTATTGGGCAACGAACGCCAAAGCTTGGCGTGGCTTAATTTGTTGGCTATCTGGATCAGTTGCACTCAGTATTACCACTATTTCTCTGAAAACAAAAACATCAAGATGGTCTTGTGGCGGTCCGAGCGGGATCTTTGGATCGACAGGCATGCTGGTATCTAGCGCTACGCTCTCGCAAGAATTTAAACCAGTACATCGACAATTTACTCACGCAGCAACCATTGCTTGGCTGGTTTCCCAACTCGATGTTGGCAAAATATGTCAAATGGTGTGTATGCAAGCGCAGACTCAAAGCCAGTTTCCGTTAGAGACCACATATTTCGCCAAGACAATTGGGTGAGACAAATGGCATCCTTCGGCTCGCTTCGCCGCGCAGAGAAACAACCTTATTGCTGATTTGTGCCGACTTGATGGAAACGTTCCTGAATAAATAAAAGTTGGTTTACGCTATCTCATACGTTGGAAAACAGTGCTTCAGAAAATCAAGTACCTTTGCCAACTAAGAGTTGGGCTTCTTCGCCCGCTCAGAGGGTATCGGAATGGGTTGTAATCAACTTGCACTTCCGGCCAAGATGAAAGTCTTGGCCAGATCTTCAAGACAATCCGCAACAAAGACGGACCCGAAATATCTAAGTGCGTTCAGCGCCTTTAGTAGCTATATGCTATGGTTGTACATATTAACAGCTTGTTAGTTCTGGCTGGATCGTTGGTAACCTTCAACGCGTGTAGACAACAAGCTAGGTAGTGAATACCTAGACGTCGGGCTCTGACAGGGAAAGCGATTGTCATGGTTCTTCATCCCTGTCATGTTGGTATGCCCCCTGTCATAATGACAATGACGAACATGGAGGCCCACTGCAAGCTCGGTAGCTAGGTGTTAGCCCGGCGATATGATGAACGGGGCATCTTGCAAATCCATCCTGCAGCTCTGCTCGTCCAGCCGCATGACCGCCAATTCTCACTTCCGCCAGCTAAGTTACGGGACGGGTTACCCCCACTGGCCTAACACAATTTGGCCTGCATCTTTTTCGCAGCCTGTTTCTGTCTTTACTCCCAGTTGAAGACGTACTCGTCAAGCTCCTGCCAAGCTTAAGTGCCGAAGGATTGATGAAAACAAGTCAGATGAAGTGATGGCTGCTGAGGCTTCCAGATTACAATGACAAATTTCAACTTTAGCCAAGCAAAGAGCGATATTTTGACACAAGCCTTGACCTGAGACTAGGAATGGAGTAGGTAGTCAAGCGGGCTCCCTTTTGACAGTAGGTAGGTATGTACATGTTGTATGTACCTACTCCTACTGTACATGAGACTATGGGTTGTAAAGACCCCTCCATAGCCCGCCCACATGCATTCTTAACTCATCTTTCAGGCCATTGCTTCCTTCGGTCTGTTGCACTTATTCGATACAATGCATGACCGCCATCGAGTCCTATAGAGGCTTAATACAGTCGACACAAGGCGGCTTTGTCCAGGCATGAGACTTCAAGGCCGACAGGTATCATGAAACAAGAGTCTCAGTCTCAGAAGCGACTGATGGAATAAGTTGAGCAACAGCTTGGTGCCTGATAGTCGGTAGGGCATGAAATGTCAACCTTTTGACAGGGCCTTTCACGCCCATGAACCCACAACACGCCCCTCATTAAACTAGAGACCAGCCAGCATCAAAACTTGGGCCCCTTTTACTGGGAAAGGAGTCCACATCGCATCCCACTCACTCTTACACTGGCCGATTCTTCCCCTCGTCTTTCCCAACAGGAGATCCACCGTCATTCTGGCTCTCCTTCTATTCATCAAACCAGCCCCTCATCAACGCAGTTTCGAGAACCCGAGGGTCTTGTTATTTCTTGCCTGATTCTTAATCGAGTGTAGACTCTTGCCCAAGCCTCATAGCCTTTTTCGTTCAAAACTAAAGGTTTTGGGAAATTTGGGTCTTTTGATGTTAGTCCAAACCCCTGGTCATCCATTGCTCGTCCCAGCAAGCGGTTGGTGCGTCGCCTCGTGCCCTCGCAAAAGTTGAAATTGCTACATCTGTGATCGTGTTTCCCTCCACTCCCACCACCTCCCATCCCGCCCATCTGGTTCCGTCTTCCGTCCGTCCTCCCGTTGCCTTCCCGCCTTGGATCAAACTTGTTCCCCTTTGCTCCCGCACATCGCCTTTACGCCGTCGTCGCACCAGCACTCTTGGGGCTCAATATTAAGCACAGTACTAAATCTGTACTATCGTATGTCCTAGCATTTACTCATTCCTTGATGTCCTAATAAATACTTACGTGCGTGACTCCCTACCAGGTTACGGCCCTTCTCTCACAATCAAACTACTGAGCTAGGTCATTACCTAGCCCACTCTCTCCACGAGGGACCCGAACGACCTCGCTTCGACCAACGCTAAATCACACCGATTCTCGCATATCCGTCCACCTTTGGCACCACATAGGACCTCTTGGCCGGCGTATCTTTACTCAGTTGTGACCCTCTGACCCCTGAGGCCGAATAATCTCGTTCCAATACTGCACTCATACTTGATATTCCTCACACAACAGCCATCTGTTGGACTAAGCATAGGCAAAATTTGACCCAACGCATCTCGCTAAATATTCGAGGTTGATGTGCACGCAATCTGTTTGAACTTCACCTTTTAATAACCCGTTTTTGCGCCGCCAACGTCGAGATATCTGCGCCCTCATCCCAACCCCACGTTCACACACGATTATAATATTACGACTCGACCGCCACAACTCTCAACACCATGGCCGAGAAGCCTTCGGTCTTGATCATTGGAGGGCTCGGCTATATCGGCCGCTTCCTCGCCCTCCATATACACCAGAATGACCTCGCTTCAGACGTGAGACTTGTCGACAAGGTTCTCCCTCAGCTGGCATGGTTGGCTCCTGAGTTCTCTGAAGCCTGTTCCCAGGACAAATTTATGCAGGCCGATGCCAGCAGACCTGGTAAGATTCTGCGCCGATCATGCTACCATTGAGCACCTTGCGTTGGTGCAAATGGCTTCCGTTTTTCTTGATCAATTTGCTAACGAATCGTTTTCACTTTGTGCAGAAGGATTAGCAAGGATCTTTGACCGACCCGATGGAAAGCAATGGGATTATGTCTTCAACTGCGGAGGCGAGACGAGATATTCGCAAGAGGATGAGGTTTACAAGCTGAGGTCTTTGAACCTCTCCATTGCAGTGGGCAGGGAGGCAGCGAAAAGAGGCGTCAAAGCCTTCTTCGAGCTGAGCACCGGCATGGTGTACAAGTCAGACTCATCACCAAGCAAAGAAGGTGATAAGTTGAAACCATGGAATCGTATTGCTGTCTTTAAGTTGCAAGCCGAGGAGGAACTTTCCAAGATTGAAGGGTAAGGTGGGATTGGAGCTTTAAGCAATTTGTGTACTGACGTGGCTTACAGTCTTAACCTTACAATTGTGCGCCTACCGCATGTATACGGGCCCTATGCCTCCCAGTGGGTTGCGACGGCATTGTGCATGGCCCGTACTTACCAACACCTGGAGGACGAAATGAAGTGGCTCTGGACCAAAGATCTCCGAACTAACACAGCACACATCGACGATGTCACACGCGCACTGTGGGATATTGCGGCTTGGTACGACGCCGGCAAGGCGAAGTGGGATGAAGCCAGCATGGGTAAGGTTCCTATTTTCAACATAGTGGACGAAGGCGCGACGAGCCAAGGTACCATAGCGACCATTATTGGCGACATTTTCAAGATCGAGACAGGGTTTCAGGGTCAACTCATCAGCACCTTTGCCCGTCTCAATCTCGACAGCGTTGTAGACGACGTCAACGATGAACTCTTAGGGCCGTGGGCGGATCTTCTAGCCGATGCGGGCATCACGCGACCAGGACCATTGACTCCGTTTATGGAAAAGGAACTTCTTAAGGATACAGATCTTAGTATGGACGGGACGCGGCTCAAGACGCTATTAGGTTTCGAGTACAAGAAGCCGACCCTGACCAAGGAGTTGATCGAGGAGGTGATCGAGAGCTACAAGAAGATGAAGTGGTGGCCTTGAGAGGATGGTCGAGAAGAAGGATGCGACATGGCATAACATGATGTGCATGGGATATATTGGATGTCCATATGGATTTTGACTTGTTTCCTGCATGAACTCGACTTAGCGAATATTCCGCTTGTTGCTGGAAGAGACGATCGATACCCGGCGTGATGGAAAGCCACAGGCATGAGGAGCAGCAGTGAAAGGATTCGGCAGATTCAGCGTCTGTCAAACGAGAATTATCAGCAGATGACGGTGACGGTGCCTGGGGTGGTAGACAAGATGTTATACATAAAGAACGAACTGTATACTGGAATTTTGAAAGGCGGCGGTTGGGGATGATAAGTGTGCCCCGAGTAGAGGGTAGACTAATAATACAGCCAAATACAATGCATAGTAGTCAAGATGGATTTTGCATACAATTTATCTCCTTGGATATATGTCTGTTGTGTAACAGCATCGCGCATGCGTACTCTTACAGATCCAAGGCACATTGCAGAGCCCAGGTAGCTTGCCAGGGTATTTTATTGACGAAGGGGTTAGAGATCATGACCGAGCCGAGGTCTAGGTATGGAAGAGACACGTGGAGGAAAAGAATAGTAAAGACTCCGTGGAGACTGGAAAGTGAGGGATTGGCAATGCGGGGAGAGGATCCTGGCTGGAAAATCTTGGTCGACGTCGTGAACTTTGATACAGAGGATTGGCATCGAATGTCGAGTGATTTACATCTTGTTAGGGGTAGTTCATAAGATGATTTTTGAGTGCTGACGCTACCCTTCCTTATAGGGTGCTGATTGTAAGTCAACAGGTATTGCTTGAAACAGATCCTTTCTAGGGTTGCACTTAACCAGTCACCAACTTCCTTTATTACTCGGTATCATATTATTTATACCTCTCACTCAAAACCTACACTTGGCTCTATCAGAGACATGATCAAAGCTTGGTAGTTCAATTGCGTCTGTCCTCGCATACGGATACAACTTCCGAATTCGAACCATGTCCGGCCTTTGCAGCCTCGAGTTGGACATGTCTCTTGTGCATCGTGGCTCAGCCTCTCTTCCTCCAATCAACCCCGCACCAGGAGAATCCCAACATGCCTGTAGTGCCTTTGTCATGTGCTTGTGACAACCGATCACCTACCACTTTGGTATAGTAGACTTGAGATTGAAATTCATGTCAAGGAGTACGTACGTCTGTAGGTATTGTGTATAGAAAAGAGTAAACATGGTCCTGCCATTGGTCCGTCCCGTCGACCTCGGCGTTTTGCGTCATGTCTCGGTGTTGCTTGTGATTAATATGCATGCTTGGCTTTACTGAAAGGAAACTTATAAATGGTGCCAATGTTCAATCGATACTTTCTTTATTCTGAATCATTGGTGTATATATATACTCGAGGAAAGGACACCTGCAGTTTGATAGCGTCATTTCGATCTACCAACCGCCAACTCAGCTCAAGCCAACACAGCCTTACTTATCAACCGACGCCTCAATCGCTGGCAGCCAACTCTATTGACTTTTCCCAACCAATATTCCTACCCTCACAAATTTCTTGCACCAAAACATCATTTTACCCTACTCGAACTCCAACTACCGCAAAAATGGCTGCCCCTGCTGAAAAGACCATCACCGACCTTAGTGGTAAATGGGTTCTGGTATGTTTTACCCGTCCACTTGATATATACTTGTATGTACCGTAGATGAGCTACGAGACTGACAACACTGCGCAATAGAACAAGACACTTTCTGATAGCTCAGAGCCCATCCTTGCCCTCCAGGGCATCGGCTACCTTACTCGTAAGGGCATTGGAATGGCTACAATTACCATTGATGTCAACCAATACAGTGCCCCTCCTAAAACACCAAACACCTCCACTGACGTCTTTACTCACATCGACATCACCCAGTCTGCTTCTGGCTTGACAAGCACCCAGGAGAACCGGTGCCTTGACTTTGAGCAGCGCGAGCACTCTGACTGGCTATTTGGTGCTGTCAAGGGCCGTTCCCGATTCGTCACTCTTGATGAGGTCGAGGACGACTTTCTCAAGCAGGGCTGGCTCGTTGAGGCCGACGGCAAATTCGTCCAGAGCATCGCGGAGAGTGTTGACAATGGTTGGGTCGCCAACCAGATCTGGGGCTTCGAGGAGATCAAGGGTGAGAGGAGATATGTCAGGCACGTCCTGGTAACCAAAGGTGACCAGAGGGTCACGGCCAAGCTCATCTACGACTACCAGGCTTAGATCCGGCAGATTCAACGTACCTCACCTACATCGACAGACGACTAACGGCATGAATACTGGTTTCTGCCTCAATGCGTGCCCTACGGATTAACTACCTCAATAAATAAATGTTATACTCAATCAACCAAACCCGCATGTTTTGCAAATAGTTGTGCAATTTGTACGCGAAAGTAATATCCATCAAGGTCTATTATCCCCAGGGTATTGCGCTATGTTGAAAGCAGCTTTCCTGCTTGACAGGCTGTAGCGAGCCCACCACAGTCTTATGATGTTTAGATCATTGTTCCCCAACGCCCATTCAAGATGTTTTGCCTTTCCCGTTATCGCCCTCCTTATGAACCATACTATTTAAAACTGATTCTCTTGCTTCCATGACGATGAGTTGACGATCTACTCGGGTCTTCGCTTCACAAACTCCTCGAGATCCTGCACTGTCGCAACGCCCAGGACAAACCTCCTCTTCTCATCCGTAATGACGGCAAATTCCTGCTCCCAAGGTCCTTCAGGCACACCCCCGCGATAAAAGTCCTCGAGTTCTTCGAGGGTGGTCTCCATGGTGATGACCTTGTAGGTGCGGCCCTTGCGCTGGAAACGTGTCATGGCGGTTGAGAGAGGATCGTTGGGCTTGACCTTGCCCGAGTCTAGTAGCGACTGCAAATGTGGGATGGAAATATAACCCAAAAGAGCACGGGTTTCGGAATCAACAATGGTCAGGTGGGTGTAGTCGCGCTCAAAGGCGGAGAGGAGGGCGAGAGAGATAGCATCGGAGGGGTTGAGAGAGAGGGCGGCTGGGGGGTCGAGGTCTTCGACAGTGGCCTGTAGAGCGTTAGTTTATGCGTGAGTATCGACATGCGCCTCGCAAGTATATTGGAGCTCTAATCTGGCGTTGTATGGTTGAAGCTCCTGATGTAGAGTGGTGTCATGAGCAGGTTCAGGCAGAGACATACCCCACGGTATCGAGAAGACCACTTTGTAACGAGAGGATGTGTCGCGCTGGACATTGTGGTGGTGGCGGTAGTAGCAGCCATGTTAAATTGTGTGGTGACGGAAAGGCGTATAGTGAACTCAATTTAAGTGTCGACAGAATTTTGGCATCTGAATTAGATCTGATCGAAATGTCGGGGTGTTGAAGGGGTCGCGGGGCAGGTCTAAGTTAGAATCGAGTCACGCAAAAGACTTGATGGATTAGTAGTGGGGCACCTTTTTTTGTTAGTTATCATGACATGGATAATAAGCGGACTAGTCCACTAACAGTTGCACTTCTAAGTTCAAGAGACGAAATTAGTAGACCAGTTTACATACTACCTAGACTATGCTTCTTAGGCTGTTTATTTTTGTACCCCAAGATCTTAGAGGTCAGCCTTTCTACTACTCACTGGCTACCTAGACTGAATACATGTTATAAACGCAAGATATTTACTAGACGCCTACCCAGTAACAGGTAGATAGCTATCAGACAGTATAACACTTTTGGGTCCTACGTGACAAACTATCGAACGTGGGCTACCCTGGTAGTGTCACGGACAGGATTTATGCATCCCTTATTCTGTTATCACTGCTGTTTTGTGGGAAGCTACAGAAATAAAGCCAACGCGGATTTCAAATTTCCTCCTGGTATCCGTACCTAGGTTTAGCTGACCCCACCTGTGGATCATCCCGTTACAGCGATGTTTAATTAGCGCCCAAGACAAGGTCTGGTGTAAGTGGAATAAATTATTCCATATTCATAGAAATGAGCTACCATGATTGATACTATACGAAATATAGAGGGAACTATCATCATACAAGACAGTACGCGAAATTTCAATGAGACCGTTGAGAATCAAAGAAACAGACAGTGCCTGTGATAAGTGTGATGTCACTTTTCATCCTACTCCCTGTGCACCTGCCACGAGCGTCATACCCTCTTTCATCATGGACGGGATGGAATTGACATGTACCTTAACTCCGAAAGATAGGTGCAGCCTTTCTGACCTTGATAATTCCTGATTTCCCTTCTCCATCTCACCCAGCGGTGTCTTCGTCTGCACTACCTACTACTGCCTCTACCTAGGTGAGACACATTAGGAATATACTCACTCATACCTCTGGATCCATCCATTGTTGGAGCTGAAACGGCCATCAGCCAGGTAAGGCAGTTCAATCATTACAGCCCATTCGTTTGCGTCAGCTTGCAGCAACGGCTTAGTAGCCGGATTGAAAGGGAACTTAATCTTGTCGATTGGTGTTTCTCTGCTATACCCTTATCTTTGTGCCATGGAATCTTCCCATCATCACATCTCTCAACATAAATCGCTCCTTTCAAACACCCAATTAAGAAGCTACCCTCAACTTTGAAGAAGTATCGCTAATACGCCGGTAGACATCGCAACCCCTCAGACAGCTACAATGTCCCCATTCCATCCATCCAAGGACGCCCTCCAGGGAACATTTTACAGCCCACTCTCAGCAACAAACCGCACTCCATATCAGGCTCGCGCTGAACTCTTTCCCATCCATTCCTCCGTCATTGAAGATGCCAAGGGTAAAGCTAAGCAGCTGAGCGCTGAAGCAACAGCCGAGTTTGAAAAGGCGAGCGCAAAAGCTCAAGCCAAGACTGGGAAGATCGAATTATACTCTGGCAGATACTATGCTGCCTGTACCTTTGGCGGTTTGATGGCCTGTGTACGTGTTTCGTTCCAGTCTATAGAGACATACCGTTTTTCAAGGCTGGCCATTCAATCCAAGGATATATACTGACAAAATCTAGGGACTCACTCACGCTGCTGTAACTCCTCTAGATCTTGTAAAGACTCGTCGTCAAGTTGATTCCAAGCTCTACACAAGCAACTTCCAGGCCTGGGGTAAGATCTATCGCGGCGAGGGGATCCGTGGTATCTTTACTGGCTGGAGTCCTACGCTTTTTGGTTATTCTGCTCAGGGTGCCTTCAAGTATGGTTGGTATGAGTACTTCAAAAAGACCTACTCGGATATGGCTGGCCCAGAGGCGGCCACCAAGTACAAAACTGGTCTGTATCTTGCCGCCTCTGCCTCAGCCGAGTTCCTTGCCGACCTTGCTCTTTGTCCCTTTGAAGCTGTCAAGGTTCGTATGCAGGGTTCGATCCCAAATCCCTACACTGGAACAATACAAGGGATTGGTGCCATCACAGGCAAAGAGGGCGTTGCTGGTCTTTACAAAGGTTTGTACCCACTCTGGGGTCGCCAGATTCCTTACACAATGATGAAGTTTGCTTCCTTTGAAACTATCGTCGAGATGATTTATGATCGTCTTCCCGGCCAGAAGAGCGACTACAGCAAGGCTGCTCAGACTGGTGTGTCCTTCACCGGTGGTTACCTTGCCGGAATCCTGTGTGCTATTGTATCCCACCCCGCCGATGTCATGGTCAGCAAGCTGAACTCGAATCGTCAACCCGGAGAAGCTTTCGGTAGCGCCATGGGTAGAATTTATAAGGATATTGGTTTCGGTGGCCTTTGGAACGGCCTTCCTGTGAGAATTGTAATGATCGGTACTCTGACTGGACTCCAGTGGATGATTTATGCAAGTGTTCCAAGACAACCTCCTCGATCTATTTGACGTTGCCGTTAACATGTACCGCAGGACTACTTCAAGATCTTTATGGGTCTCCCAACCACAGGCGGTGGACCACCACCAGCTGCGAAGCAGGAATAAATCATGACTACCCGTCTATGAGAGTGTCTGTTCGATATATGTCCCGAGAAGCGCTCGTGAGTTATGGTCGTTGGAGGTGTTTCTGGTGGCTTTAGGTCTACTGTTCGTCTCTGACGGATCCTAAAGCCATGTTGGTAGTCAGACGAAATAACCCATTCCTATGAAACACTCTGGTTCTCGATATAAAATAATGCGTTCTGTTAGTGATATGTCTCCGGAACAATCGGGTATAGGTGGAACTATGCATTCGCTTTGTGAAACTCTCTACTTATCCCCGTTCATCCTGACCCGATGATAACTGGGTAGAATGACGATGCTACTCGGAGAGATACGACGCATGCAACCTATGGATAAGCGAGAAGAGGCACCTTTGCCGCTTGGCATCCATTCGGTGCGCAAGTGATGATAGACAGCCGAAGTTCTCATGCTGTATGTTGTCATTGGAAATGCCATGCCTGTCCTCCTAATGGCAGGCTGGATGCACAAGTAGGGCTGGCAGCGTTGTGCTTATAATGATGTGCCGTTAGCTTATGACTTTTGTTATAGAAAGTTCTTTTATGAAATGCCAAGCTTCCATTCATATGCAGGAAATTTAAAAGTAATCGCTCCGAAATTTGTTGCTAAGATGAAGTTTCAGTTTATAAGATGCAGCAAATGCTGCTGTGATGCGACTCGTCGATATTATCTAAACTGTCTGTTAGCCAGATGTCAGACTGCCACCAAAAAGGGCTGCATGCAATGTCGTCATGGTACATGAGACGGGTGGGCACCGCGGAGACAGCGGCGCGCCTCACACACATTGATGCGGTGCAATACGCAGACGGTTGTGAACTTTAGTTGCAGTACAGAGCGCTAGCGTAACTGACGTTTATTCCAGAACACTACTACCTTTAGCTTAACAGGTAGGTGTTCCAGCCTACCAGCGTAGCATCATAATTAGCACAGGCGTAGCAACTAGATTCGGCCATGACCCCTCTCCTCTCTTACCATTCTCTAGTATATGGCACCGTACTGTATCAGAGAGAAGGCAGACGAAGAAATACGACTAGTGACTACCAGCTCAACATCGCTTATTAAGGCACAGCTTACTTAGAAGTGTGCACCATCTCGTAATTTCGTGGAGATTAGTATAGGAGAGCAGTCAACATCAACACGGGAGATGCTAAGCCATACCTGCGCAGTAGAACGAACGAGTATACAAGAATGTCTTCCTGGAACAAACCTAAGAGGGTAGGGCAATAGGCAGACCATAAGACCAATCGCAACACATCCGGGACCGACACACGTTAGACACCCGATATCCACAAATAGCTACCAACCGGTTAGTCTAACGGCAAACATCGCAACGCGCATGCACTTGACCAAGTTGTCGTGGAAACCTGAACATCATCTTTAGACCACCTGTTACGGTATGCAAATGCACGGGATGCCATGTTGACAATAACGGGCCGACTGGTAGACGATCAGGATGGGATGGGAATCAAATTGATAGGATACCATCACCACGGTTGGGTACGAAGGGTCGAGTGATTGGTGACAGTTCTGGTGGGCATTTTGGGATGTGCCGCATGGCAACCCCACACTCTCATGCCTCTAGATGAGGGGTTGGCGTGATTTATCACTTCGGTTTGGCGAACGTCGTCTTAGTTGCAAGACTCGTCATGGCCACCGACTAGGAACGTAAGGGACGGTGAACAGTTTACGGTACGACGAAGCTCGACAGGTCAAGCCAATGCTTTGTCATAATCGACTTCCAAGGCTATCCCATTGAGACTTGGCCAACAATGACATGTTATCAACCTGTCCTGGACATTTGTCAGTCAGCTTCCATTTCTGTTTATCCAACAATGCCAAGCAACAGGGTGAGGTAAGGATGAGACTCAATAGTGGTCTCCTTCTCTCCTGGCTCAGTCCAGCTTGGGAAGTAATCGAATTCAAGGCTCCCAGACGAACAAGGCAACGAAAAAGGCGACGTTACCTTATCATATAAGGCAACATCTTTCTGACTGTGTAAAACGGAAGTTTCGAGTAAGTGCAGCCACGTCAACGAAACATGGTTACTCACGAGTCTTGGATGAGGAATGGATTCTTTGGATAAAACAATGTTGCTCTGACCAACAACGATACAGTCATTCTTCTCCGACTTGGCGGTGGTTGGTTCGTCTTGGCGTTCGCTTGTTGCAGAATGCTCAACCTTCCGAATGCTTCGGCTAAAAGCCAACCCCAAACTCAAAGAGAGGCACAGGCATCCAGACCTGGGGAGACTAATAACCGATGAGTTGTGGCGCTGTTCGTTATTTACCGCACCAAAGAACAAGTCTCGAAGTGGGAACTAGTGCTTTTGGCGCCGTCATTTCA